AGTTCACTCGGGTCTAGGGTCGGCACCAGGTGAGCAAGTTGCCTCGGGAGTCGGAGTTCGCCCACACCGGGGCGGGAGGACAGGCCCGAGGGCAGCAGAGCCTGGCAGCAGGGGAGGCTGGAGCTCCCAGTCCCCTCTGTGGAGAGGGCAGGAGGCCTGTATTGACTGCGGGCTGTGCTCCGGGCTCCATGCACCGTGCCTCTTCCCCAGATAGCTGGCCTCCGCAGGTTCCAGGGCTTGATGGTGTCTCTGGCACTCTGTTCTAGGGCTCTTATTTGTTGCTCTCCGTCACTGTGAAGGGACCAGCGTTGGGGCCTGCTTTCCTAAGGCTGTGGGTGCCGCCTGCTGTGTGCCCTTGAGGCCAGGCTGCCTGGCTTCTGGACAGGACGAGAGCGCAGTGTCTGCTCCAAGACCCTGAAAGTGCCTCATTGGGGAAACCCACTCCAGTATGGAGCTCCTGGTCCTGAAGGGATCTCAGGGGACATGTGAGTTGGGGTGTGGCCTGCAAAATGTGGGTCTTGGGAGGAGTTGGCAGACCTTAGGTCAGGCGACAGCAAAGAAGCCCCCCAGTTTACTTTCTGGGCTGGCTGCCAGGCACTGTCAGGTAGGGACACCTGGGGCCACCCGTGGGAAATCAAAAGGATGAAAACAACACCTCTATTCCCGGGATGGCAGAGCCTAACAGAGGGGCATTTTTTAAAAGATGAAGAGATGGGAAATGGTCAAAACTAGTATATTTTAAAGATGAAATGAAAGCTTGCAAAATTTTGGGACTGTACAGTTGTGTACCTTGTGCCTAAAGAAATATTAGGTCATTCACTCCCTTCTACTTTTTTAGTTTTTGTTTTTATTTTATTTTAGCAAGGAATCGGTTTTGCCAGTATTTTCCTCAGGAGCTGAGCATTACCCACAGCAGGGAAGACAAACTTATAATTCTCAGGTTGATTTTGACTTCAAGTCTGGGATCTAGCACTTCTAAATGTAGAGGAAAATCATTTCTTGCTGTATTTTCCATGTGTGATTCCTTGCCTTACCCTCAAGGACCCGGTGATATTTGTTTATTGGTTTCATAAGCATCTATTTAAATGTAGTTTTTGTATGAAATACTCCCAGTTGCCACAGGGTGTAGTTTTTCAGAGAAAGCTGCCAGTGGCTTCACTTTCCAAGAATGTAAGTCATTTCCTTTCTTTGATTTCAGGGAGTTGATATTACACAGCATCTGAACTTTGTGGGGACAATTTTCCATATTACATCTGTCATTAAAAAGGCTTTTGGGTTTCCTTCCTAAGAGCAGTGCATAAATTTAAGCCAAGCAATGTTAAAGGATAAGAAGTTTTTCAGCATCTAGAGTATTATAAGACTACTGTAGAAATAAATTTTAACAACCAAGACCTACTAAAAGCCACCTCCAGATGGTACCCAGACAAGCTTATCATTCATGCAAATGATCATTGGTCAGTTGCTTTGTAGCTGCAACTTCAGAAAGCATATGTACTGAAGCCATACTAATATTATTTTAATCATCTAGAATACATATGCAACTAAATCTGTTACATACTCATCATTGTGCTGCTGTTAACAAACAAAATGTCATGTGATTATGCAACACAATATTATATATCTGATTCTTTTTTTCATTCACTAGAAATAGATCCTTCAGTCTATGACTTAAGGCTTGTGTTGTATGCTCTCTCAAAGCAATTATCTGCATCTTAGTCACCATGGATGAATTTTAAAAATGAAAAAAAAGTACCTCATCCTTGGGAGTAACTAGAGTTACAGGAATGCACCATTAGGTGAGTTTGTATACTCAACTTTAAGAATGTTACAAAATAGCCATGTACATGGTCATGCACTTCAATACCGGTGATACAGGTTTCTGATGCTTGAGGATCAAAAGTTTGAAATTAGCCTAGACAACTGAGAAAAACCCTGTCATAAAACAAAGAAGAAAAAGATCTGGGAGTATAACTCAGTGACAGAGGAGTTATGAGTTCAATTCTTCATATTGCTAACTAAGTTAGAAATATGAAACAAAAATATGATTAAAATTAATACTATTAATATTTTATTATATAGACTTCTCTCTAGCTGTAAATTCATCATAATTTTGCACAGGCATTGAAACCAGTGTTCTAACAGAAAGCAGAGAAAGCACAAAAATTTTACAGGATGAATTATATTTTCAAATTAAATCAAGTTTTGAACTGTAAAAAATTGTATAGATAAAATGAGAATCAACAGTCTCCTGATTAAAATAATATTTCCTCATTATGTGTCAAAACAAGTCCAATGTTTAAATATTAGGAAATAAGACACCATTTAAGATGGGGTGATTTTAGCAGCTCTCTTTCTGTTTGACATCCCAATTCTGCCTTTGTATGAACTGAAAAGAACCGGTATGGTGATGTGTTCCTGTAATTTCAGTGACTCAGGAGATTTAGGCAGGGAGATTTCACATTCAAGGACAGCTTCAGCAACTGAGTAAATACTAAAGCAAACAAACAAACAAACAAAACCATGACTGCGTTGGGCAAGGTGCACACAACAATAATCCCAGAAGGATGGGAAAATGAGGCAAGAAGATGGTAAATTCAAAGTCACCCTCAGCCAAAGTGAGCCCCTAGACAACTCAGTGAGACTCTTTCTCTAAGTGTAATACAAAATAGGGCTGGGGATGTGGCCCAGGGTCAAGTGCCCCTGGCTTCAATCCCTGGTACAAAAAAATGAAATAAAATAAAATGGGGCTGGAGGTGTGACTTTGTGCTTAAATGCCCCTGGGTAAGATCTCTGGTACAAAAGAAACAAAAATTCTGCTCTTTTGAATAAGTGTCACTATCTAACATCCAAAAGAATATGAAAATATTGATAACTCATGTAGCCTAGAGGAGGTGAGTTTTGGCTTTGAGATAAGGTAAAGTTGAACCTGAATTCCAGTAAAGTTACTTAGCAAATATTCTTGTGAGACTTAGCAAATATTCTTTCACACTGAACACCTATGTGAACCTCATCTATTATAAAAGGTACAATAGTCATGAATGCCAACATGTAAGAATTCTTCAGCTTCATTTATATACAGAAAGTAGATGATATGTTTTTACTCCTACTCTAGAAAAATGTAGAATGTGTTTCCAAAACTTTGAATATGGTCTCTTATTATTTTTTATGAATTATGTAATTCTGTTTGCTATGAAAGAGTATTAGTCAGGTATCTGGTCAAGGAACATTTGAATGTTTTTGTTTTTGCTTTCAGAACACTGTTACCTCCATGAGAACAAGCCCACAATACTTTTTTAATCATGAGTTATTTTGGGAAAAAAACATCAGGGTGTTTTATTGGCAGCCAGATTATACTCTAAAGTTCAGTGTATTTACCAACCATCAGCTAATCATATGCAGCAAAGATTCCAGGTGAACTGAGCCTAAACTGACGACCATCCCAAATATGAGCTAATAAGTTTTAGAATGAGTTAATTAGTGACAGATGATTAGTTAATTTATTCACTATAGGCTGGATGCCAGGATTCAATCACATGATGTGCAGAGGTTGTATGAAAAACAGCAGTCATCTTTAGACAGTGATTTATTTTTTCTTCATTAAAATTTTGTTGACTCTCTTAATAAACTGTATTGAACTATAGAAAAATATTTATAGACGTATATGCCTTTAATTGTGAAAATATTCTCCCACTACCTTATAAATGTGGTATGAATATTAGCACAATTATAAAAGCCAAGTATTTCAATCCTGCCTCTAGGGTCAAGGTAAAATTGCAAATAAGTTTCCCTTTAATGTATTTATATTGTAGAGTCTGGGCTACTGAAAAATCTGAAGACCTGTCACCACCCACCTCCTGTGACACCAATTCTTTATGTTTACCATGTTGGATCTGAAATGGGAATGAATCTGTTCTTAGAATCTAGTGAGAAATAATGCCCACATTTGTACAGTTCTGGGTTGGAGCTGCCAGCTGTCTCAATGTGCACTGTCTCTCCTGTTCTTTGGCCCCGTTGAGAATATGTCCAGGAAGTGTATTCCATCACCTAGGACATAAAAATGAGTGGTTCAGGCCTTTCATCTTGCTGATGTCAATGAATCCATAGCTCTCAATGTGAAATTTGGACACAGTAAACTGAGATATGCCTGAGACTTCAGGTAAATAGTGAATATTAAGATGGTTTTCCAAAAGTGCATGTATGTATTAATAAATTCATAGTGTCAAGCCATGATAATATATTGAATATAGAGTTTTTAGTTACAATTTGTTTAAGCTCTTATTTTCTCCTCCTCCTCCTCCTCCTCCTCATTTTTCATTTAAGGACAGGGTCTTACTGAGTTTCTTAGTGCCTTACTTTTTGCTGAAGGTAACATTGAACTCACAGTTCTCCTGCAACCACCTCCTGAGCCACTTGGATTACAGGTGTATGTCACTGTGCCTGACTTTTGTTTTTCATTTTTAATTTGAATAGACAAAACTTTAAAATCATACTCATGAGTCTCTTTTTAGGGGTGAGAGATATTGGGACCTTGATGCCTAAGGAAATTGCTAATGAGTTTAAACCTCAAGGTGTTTTTCATAAGATCAGTGAACAGAAAAGTTAAATAAAAATTTCAACTAAGTGTGATATCATTTCCATAAATAAAAATATATACATATTTATCACAAATTGCTTTAACCTTATATACAGTGATAAGTGTCAATGCACTTCTGTCTGGGTTAGGTCCTACTATTGGAAGGAAATTCTCCCTCAAAGTAAATCAACCCAAGGAATTTAATGCAATTCACAGCCACTCAAAATAATAATAAGAAGAAGGGTAGGGGGATTCTAGAATTGTGATGTACACCTGTAATATAAGTTACTTGAAAAAGCATCAAAGGAAAAATTTATACTCTCTCTCTCTCTCTTTATATATATATATATATACACACACACACAAGTAGTGAGGGTACACAAGTCTAAGACACAGTCCTTTTTTTCTTGAATTTTTATTTGTTGCTGTAGATGGATATAATATCATTATTAGTTTGTTTCTTTGTTTTTTTAATGTGCTGCTGAGTGTTCAACCAGTACCTCACACATAATAGAAAAGCACTCTACCAGAAGATTCTGACCCCTTTTATCTTTGATATTGAGGGCCTGCTATCCTCTCATGTTTTTAATTGCTGGACTCAGCAGTTTTAGGTGTGCTTCTTTTCACATTTTGACACCATTGTCAGCAGATCCAAGATCTTAAATTAGATAGTCCTTAATACAAAGTTTCTCATTTTGACTTCTTAAAGATTAGTTTCCAAGTATAGGTAGATGAAAACTATTATTGAATTAAATAGTTTTTATTTGAGTTTCCTTACAAAAGTCTTTTTTTTTTTCTTTTCTTAGGTCACTATGTTCTCAGGTTAGAGTATTAACAGGAGATGCTTTCAGTTCATGGGAAATATATTTTTTTTAAATAACAAAAAAGAATTCGTTGAATGAATACTAATGATTTTAATGGAGGAAAAAATGATTTGTTGAGACACATAATGAAAATTTACAATATTAAAATCATGTTTAGGACAGAATAGAAAGAAATCATAATTAATAAAAGAATAAGTGCAAATAATCCAGAAAGATTTTTAAAAAATTGAAAATGCCTTTCCCCCATAAGCCTGCAGAACCATGATTGGATGATAATAGCAGCATAAAATATTTTAGGTTCTAAGGTGGAGACTAAAGAAAAAGAAAAATGTTGATGGCTTCAGAAGTTCTTTTTCTCCTTATGAGTTTTTTATATTTATTTTTTAAATTTTTATTACTTTTAATTTGGTGGAGAGATACTGAAAAACTTCCATGGCCCAGGGAGAATTGCCCCACCTGTCCACCTCCTATGCCCTCCACCCATACTTTTTTTCTCAGTCCACCTTTGCCCCCTCCTCCGCCCCGTCCTTTCCCCAGTGACAGGACTTGGCAGCGGTCACTGCTGGGGAGGAGGAGGGAGGGACGGCCTTGCTCCTGAGCCCCCTCCTCTGCTCCAGAGCTCCAGCGGTCCTACTCTCTCGGCAAAGGCTGAGATGAGGAGGAGGAGGGGGAGGGTGGAGCAGGAAGAGGAGGAAGAGGAGGAGGGGAGGAGGGGAGGAGGAGGAGAAGGAGGTGGAGGAGTGGAGGAGGAGCGGGAGGAGTGGAGCTGGAGGAGTTGCTAACTGGAGGAGTTCTAACACGGGAACTTGGCGGCTGCAGCCTCAGCTACAGCTTCAGCAGCGAAGGTCAGCGCCCTGGGCAGCCGGCACCTGACGGAGGATGACAGGAGCCAGTCACCGCGCCTTCCTCCGGGGCTGCCAGGGCGGGTGGGAGGTAGGCGGGGGCTCCGGGTCCCCACCCCCGGCTGTGAGTGCCCCCAAGAGGGCTGTTTCTGGGTGCGGGCACCGCTGCCCGAGTGTGCGGAAAAGGGGAGTTGCATCCTGGAGGCGCCATGGAGCTGGGGAGTTGGGGTTTGGGGTGGGAAGGGCGGGAAGCGGCAGGGGAGAAGCGGAGTCCCGGTGTTACCGCTGTTGACCGGTGACGAGTCCTTGCTTCCCCGATGTTGCAGAATAACACCAGAGAGCAGCTGAGGCAAGGTCAGAGTAGAAATTAGAAGTTTAAAAAATTAAAAAAAAAAAAAAAGATGAATTAAAATGTCATACAGGGTTTGAAAGGATTATCAGCGTCAGGTCGTCATCTGACTCCGGTTTTATGACTTCCACTTTGCTAAAAAACCCACAAGCTGCTCCTCAGCCCAAAGAGCCACCAGCACAATGAAAGAGGATTTCTGACAGTTTTATTCACACTTCACATCAATGCTCATTTACCGCTTGTCTCCTGTATGTTGAAGGCTGTGTTGAGTTGTTTTATAGCCTATTTAATCCTATCATTACTATAACCTGGGGCAGCCAGAGGTACAAGGAGCTTTCTGGAATTCAAAAGATGGTGCTATTCCATGGCCCCCACCCAGTACTTGTTCCTCTGAATATGTTATTTCCACTCTGTGTAAGCGCAGCCTTGACTTTGCTAGGGTACCTGCTTGGGGCAGTGCAGTCGATTACCGGACCTCTTTGAAAAACCCTATTCAAGTTTCAAGACCATCAGAAACTGACCTGTTTCTTTAGATGTACCGCATCCAAACACAGAATGGTATTAATGTGAGGACCTCTGAAGACAAGGTATTGCTATTTTAATGGCAATATCACCTAAGAGCATTTTACCTCATTTTAAATTAAAAGGTCTGTGATTTATAGCAAGGTAAGTCACTATACCATTTGCTAATCAAAGACCAGACGTGATCAGAACAAAAGAAAATCAAACCTGTGAGAAGTGCCTTGTTCTTTAAAGAAAACAGAAATGCTCAGAACATGCTCACTTACCTGCATAGGGCCTCAATGGCATCTCTGTCCAAAAAATCATGATCTCTCTTGACCGAGGTAATATCAATGGGGAAAAGGAGATCTATAAGAAAAATAAATACAAACATGTTATTAAGCTCGTAGGTTCTGGATAAACTGGCTCAGTTCACCAAAGTGGGGAGAAACCTCCCAAAGCAATGTGATTAGTATCTCCTGTGTGCAGGAAGGTTCATTCTCTTCCAACTTCTCTGAGGCTCTTGGAGAATAAAGCAGTTTAAAGCAATTCAGCACGAGCATCCTAAAAGAGCTCTAAAGTGGTCTGGAAACCCAAATGTTGCTTATGTCAAAGGTAAGTGTTGAAAAACCCCATTCCACCTTTATACAAACCAAGGCAATAAACCGTTATAATTAAAAAAAAAAAAAGAAGTTTATTAAAGGACAGCAGAAAAGACTTCTCCCGGAGGAAGAAGGGGACCCAAGAGGTGGAATCCAGTTGGCGGCAAAAGTGTTTCCCTTTTTATAGGTTTGGTGATGGAATGTAGGTTGGAAGGCCCGAGGGGTGGGACACAGGTGGGCCAAAGAAGTAATCTGGTCAGGAAGGACTTCTGAGTCAGCACCTTTTTGCTGGGGGTTGTTCATTAACATTTCTTTGAGGTGGACTTTGGCCTACGGCCTTTTGGGACTTCATTAACATTCCATGAGTTGTCCTGTGTTCTCCCTGAGTCATTCTCTGCATGGCCTCCATTTTAGATTTCACTAGATATTAGACCCGATTTACCTAACTACACTGACTACCTAATTTTAAATCTGGCTTCATTCCCCCCTCTAATTTGGGGAACTCCTTACTGCTGTAAGGAATGGGGGCGAAGACCGTTCTGGCTTCTTCAGGCTGACAAAAGGGACGATGTTGGGCAAGCAGTTTGGAGTCCCCCTTTAAAAGTTGGGTCTATCGAGTGGTCCATGATAGAAGTCCGATTGAGAAGTAATAGGCTGGAGGGCCATTTGAGCGATGGGCGGTCTATAAGAGAGACAAGAATTCATTAATATTGGAACCATATTGATGCAGCAATAAATACCACAGCACAGGAATATGCCAATAAGTATGATACCAAAGACAGAGACTAACAATGTTTTCCACCAGGAAGTACCAGAGAACCAGGAGCTAAGATATTGTCCCCATGACAAAGTTGGTGAGGACATGGCTTCTATCTGAGTATGTAAACCTTTAAGGATATTTGTCACATTGCCAGAATTGTCAGGGATGTAAACACAACATTCAGTTTTAATAACAGCACAAGTACCACCTTGGGCTGCAGTGAGGACATCTAAAGCCATTCAATTTTGTAAGATGGCCTTCCTCATAAGTGTTATTTCAGTATTAAGGAGAGAGATACTTTCCTCAACATCATGGAGGGCAGTTTGAGTATAATTGTTTAAAGTCTCCACATGCCACATTACATCTTCTAAACCAATTTGTGGGATAAACAAAGAAGCTAGATGATCATACCAACGGAACACAGATCGTCCCCATCTGTGTTTGAGATTGGGGAGGTTTGCTGGCTGTGTTATATTTGGGGTCCATCTCCCCTGCATCCAGGGGTACCCAATAGTACATCTTCCTATCCAGCCTGGGGGAAGCCAGGACCATAGGTTAGTTCCACATATCCATTGAGTCCCATTGGGTGCTGGCCAAATAGTTTTAGGTCTAGAAAGCCAATTTGTTCCAAACCAATCATTGGCTTGTAAAACTATAATTTTTTGACATTGTGACTCTGGAGTCCATCCTAATTCTCGAGTAGCATTAGGCCACGTGTCATAGGTATGGTTTCGCTGTTCCCAACAGAGTGGGGCCTTTTGGTTTAAATGCCCAATAGTGGGAGTGAGCCATAAATCTCCGTCCCAAATCTGATAATAACCATCTTTATACCTGTGACATATTGATGGTGCAGGTAGTGGAAGGAGAGAATTAGATGGGCCTATATGGGATTTAACAGTAGAGGACGTCTGAAGGTTAGTCTGGTTTAAAGTGAAAATCTTTCCATGACCAGGTTGTGATAAAGTTTCATTTATAGGCCACAAATTAACATCTGCACGAGAGGCATTTTTTAAATAGGGTCTTTCTTTCTTTTGTTGTAACATTAAGGATTGTAAATTTTTCCAGTCCTTTCCTTGTAATGGGGATACCCACCAAGGTAGTCCAGAAGTGCTGGAAAGGGGTAATAGTCCACATATCCAGCAATTATCTTTCTGTAACCTAATGGCATATTGTTGAGCCCACATTAGAAAAGAGTTAGCTTCAGTCGGTCTGTTTATGGTAACAAAGAGAAAGAGAAGGAAAAGTTTACATATCACCATTTTCTCTGCGGAATAGATACTTTAGGTCCTCTACTGGAGTGCAGGAGTATCGTTCCTCAGTTTCTTGGGAAGAAGAAGTCTCTTTGGGTATCGGCTCAGGATGGCAGGCCTTAATCCAAGAGTGGTGGATCCAATTCTCCTGTCCCAGCACCTTTACTGCAGAAGGGGTGGATAAGATTACGGAAAAAGGTCCTTTCCAAATAGGGTCTAAGTTTGGAGAGTTTGAAGGAATGGTCTTAATCATAACTAGATCTCCAGGCTCATATAGAGGTGGAGAAGTAACTGGCTCAGATATAGGATACTTGCGAATTTCAGCTTGAAATTTGGCCAACTTTGTGATATGAGTTACTAGATCTGCACTTTCTTGGTCTTTAAGAATATCATTTCTTAGGAATGGTCTCCCATATAGGAGCTCAAATGGGCTGAGCCCTAATGTCTTTGGGGTGTTCTTGATTCTGAGCAGTGCTAAAGGAAGCACCTTAGGCCGTGGGTAGTGGGTTTCTTGAGTGAGCTTTCTTAGATGTCTTTTTAAAATATCATTAGTTTTTTCTACCTTTCCTGAGGATTGAGGTCTCCAAGCACAATGGAGATGATATTTAATGCCTAAGGCTTTTGATATCCCCTGAGTGACAGCTGCCTTAAAGGCTGCTCCATTGTCGCTCTGTAGACTTCGAGGCAACCCAAATCGTGGGATTATGAATAATACAGAGCTCTTTGTGAGCATTATGGTGCTATAGATAATAAATTTACCCTGTTCTCTGGCCTGCCAAGAGAGTTATAAAGCAGAATATACTGGTTCACCTTTGTGATAATAAACAATTTTAGTATGTTAGTAGGTTCTAGCTAACATTTACTTCTGAGGTCTTAAAGAATAGTGTGCTCTAAATGGTTCTGGGAGTGTTTATACTGGCTCTGACTCTCCTGGGTAATGTTTCAGTGAGTGATATGATCAGATAACAAGTGGTACTATTTCTCAAGTATTGATATTGTGATATCTCCTGTAGTTTTATTGCCTGGAGTAGCTGATTTTGTCTTAACTGGATCTGTAGTTGTGTGTATGCATTTTTAATATGATTTTTTAAAAGTGGTTTATAAACTTGCGTGCATTTTCTAAGTGATATCACCCTTCTTTCTCAGTTATTTTTGCATGGATCAGGAATCAATAAGTCCTTACTGTTCTTGTTTTATCTTCTTAACAAAATGCAGACACCCTTGTAAAAAATGTTTCTCTTGAAACTGAAATAGCGATCAATTCATCACCTCTTCATGTGTTCCAAATGGTAACAAGACATCTGCATTGGTAGCAAATCATAATTGATTATATAAATTTAATTTAGAGTAACATGTTTACATAAACTTTGTGAGAATAGCCAAGCTTTTTGTGTTTATTAATTTCTCCTACAATAACAGTAAGGGTGGTGATTTTTGCATAGGAAGAAAAACTCTGATATTCAATCATTCTTTTGGCTGATAACATACAACTGAAATTTTAACATGTTGTAATTTCCTCACAGGATAAAAAGGAAGAAATAAATTTATAAGCAGCACTTTATTGAAGTATTTTCTACAAGGGGTGAAACATTTCATTTTGTTCTTATTTTCTTAAAACTGCATAGACTAATTCTGAGAAAGTACTTAAGCACTTTCTTTATTTATATACATTTTTGGATGTTGATGGGTCTTTATTTTGTTTATTTTGTTTATATGCAGTGCTTAGATGAAACCCTGTGCCTCAAACATGCTAAGCAAGTGTTCTACCATTGAGTCACAATCCCAGCTCCAGGCACAAACACAGGTCTTTCAGCTCTTTCTTGATGTGTAGAATTTCTCACCCATGCCTCTGCTGTCTTGATCTAAGTATCCATACATTTACTTCACACAGATACAGTGATTTGATGCACATACACAATACCATTTACTGCAACAAAACAGCATGGTTTATAACTTAAATCCATTTTAAGCATTCAAGCTAATTAGAGTCATAAAGCTATAAGAATAGGGCCTTTTAATCCACTGGTATATTAACCTATATAAGATGGGTGGGCTTTTTATACAAAAAATCCTGAAGTAGTCCTGAAGAATATTTGGATTGAAACAGGTGAAAAATACTGGTTGAGTCCCACTGCTCTTTTGTGTTTCACTAATATTAATGCAGAGACCATTAGGAGCAGCACACTAGCTGAGCTGAATAAAGATGGCCAATTTCAAAGAAAATCAGAATTTATATAATACAGGACCTTTTAGATCACATCAGGTTGACTCCTTTGGAAAGCAAATGTGTAAGCCATGCAGCTCACAAGACATGACATGGATCATCCACATTCAGCATGGCTTGTGAGGCCTCTGTTTGGAAGCAGAAGACCCTCAACACTGGCTCCCACAAAAGAGATTCCTGCAGTCCAATATTGGGATTAGAAAATTGTAGTAAACTATGGTGAAAGCAATTTTGAAGACAGATGCCATCAGTTTGTTTCCAGAAAAAAGACAGTAAGGAAAATATGAGTGAAAAAGTCCTTTTCCATGAACTCCTATTTGTTTTGCTTTGTGAGCATACCCTACAGAAGAAAATAGAATTCTGACTGTGAGGGGAAATCTGGACCTCCAGTGATTGTTATAGAAGAATAGGAAATGTTGACACCAAGGGTATGCTACAAAATACTTAGCATAGGACTGCCTACTTCTTTGAGAGAAGGCTCTGTGGGAAATAGAAAATGCTGGTAAAATCTTTTCTTTTGGTTTCATGAAGCCTAGAGTTTTATTTGATGTTTGAGATCCATTGTGCTTTGAAATATAATCTTCTTAGCATCCCTGCCATAGGTTTATATGAAAGGTGATTTAGCGTACTGTAGTGGGCTAACATCCATTGCTTCTTTTTATGGGAAACATTTTCTACTAAAAAAAATAAAAATGGCCAATACTCTTTAATAGGGAATTTTATTCATCATTGAGTGGAGGCTTTCTTAAAATGCTTTTATTCAAACACATCTTTTTTTTTAGAGAGAGAGAGAGAGAGAGAGAGAGAGAGAGAGAGAGATTTTTAATATTTATTTTTTTAGTTTTTGGCAGACACAACATCTTTATTTGTATGTGGTGCTGAGGATCGAACCCAGGGCCGTGCACATGCCAGGCGAGCACGCTACTGCTTGAGCCACATCCCCAGCCCCTTCAAACACACCTTTTATTTAAAATATAGAAATGACTGGCTTTACAAAGCCAGTTATGTAAAAAAAAATCAGACACTTTAAAATAAAGTAAACAGATCACTCACATTATATTTTCTACAAAAATATTTTATTTACCATTATATTTAGAAAAATATAAAAGAATCAAATTATTTCACATACATATAAAAGTTAACCTTAGATAAAACATATATACATTTATACATAGTGTTCTAGAGTGCACATGCACATACATATTCTAAAATATATAAAAGATTTCATCGACTTGGAGAAAAATTCCAGGAAGTATCTAGTACTGATATTATTTAATAAACTTTCATGAAAAAGTAATTACAAAATCGTGTCTAAACTTGTGAGAAATAGTTTCATATGTTATCTTTATCCCAAGAAAATAAGTTTTCAGAGATTTATCAGAGGATAAATAATCTGTCATTTCTCACAGTCTTATCATGCATTCACTACTTTTCTTATTTTTAGCATGGATTCTCTAGTACTTTAAGACTTCTTTCTTCATTTGTATATTTAGTTTTCCACTTCTACCTATTTTGTTTTACTTTCTTCATCACTCTTTGTATTCTGTTTTTCTCTCTCTCACTCAAAGAATAGATTTAAATGAGACAATATATTACTATTTAAATAAATGAATATATTTTAGTTGCTTCAAAAGTATTTGCTTTTTTTTTTCATAATATGTTACAGTTATTCTTGAGTATTACAAACTCCACAATGGAATATATAAAACATTTCAACATATATAAACATGCTTTTTTATTTTTGTATTTAAATATTTTATTTCCTCTGAATTTGCTCACAATCTTTTATAACATAGTTTTTAGATTTTATTCTAATTTGTTATAAAAGACAGTAGAATGCATTGTAATTCATATTACACAAATAGAGTACAATTTTTCATATCTCTTGTACACAACAGAGTCACACCATTCATGTCTTCATACATGTACTTAGGGTAATGACATCCATGTCATTCCACCATTTTCCTATCCCCATGCTCCCTTTCTTCCCCTTCCTCCCCACTGCCTTATCTATAGTTTGTCTATTCCTCCCATGCTTCTCCATCCTTTCCATTACATATCAGCAATTTTATGTCAGAGAAAACATTCAGCATTTAGTTTGGGGGGATTGGCTTACTTCACTTAGAATAATATTCTTCAGCTCCATCCATTTACCTGCATATGCCATGATTTCATTCTCTTTAATGATGAGCATTATCCCATTTTGTACAAAAAGAACATTTTCTTTATCAATTCATATACTGAAGGGCATCACAGCATACTACAAGAATGCAGCTACAACAATGTTTATAGTAGCACAATTTTAAAAAATGATTTTAACTATCAGATTATAAATGCTTTTTCTAAAAATCTGATATAAAGGTATAAAAACTCTACATGGTTTCTATTAAACATTGTGGATGTTGAAGGTGTTGAATATTTTCTTATATATTTATCATCAGAAATACTATTATTTCTACTAATAAAATGTTTCTAAAATGAAAATATTAAATGGAGAAGCCAATAAAGTAATAGCCTTGCCTCATAATGTATTAGGTGTAAGACTTTGTGAATATTCTAGTATTTTTTAGGTGTAAAACCTTAGCTAGATTTCATTTGAATCTTAGCTTTTCTCACTTAGTAACTTTATAAACTATGATACATCACTTATCTCTGGGAATCTCAGTTTGATTATCTGTCAATAATTAATAATTGCTCTCAGATTTTTCTGGAAAATTTGAACATGCCCAATATTGTTTTCTTTTTCTTTTTTAAAATATTTGTTTATTTATTTTT